ACCAATTTAATTGTTTGTTAATATTAATTTCAATAAAATTAAGTTTTTGCAGTACATTATTATTTGCATTTGGTGCAGTAGGTGTGGTATGTTTTATTTTTTCCTTCAATATTGGAGCATCCATTCTTGCTATCTTATCAGTTGTATCAATTAGTACAGGTAAGTTATCTCTTGGGTAAAATTGTTTTTAAGCTCAAATGTACATGTATTTTGTAAGTTTTGAAAAAAAGTGCATGCAAACTTTCAAATTGACAAATTGACACCAAAACTGTAATATTCTATATAACGGATCACAATGTACAATAAGCAATTTATAATTTCTTTTCCTTCTTTATGCTCTTATTTAATTAAATTTAAAAGCAAATTAATTGTATAAAAATGAAGTCGAATCACTGAATTTGTAGATTTAATACTTAAAAAATAAAAGATTTCATTTTCTCATTTATCAAATCAATACTAAAATATTCGTGTAATTCTAAGGTGTTATTGGTTTCTTACAATATTGGAATTGCTTTTTGGATCCAGTATTAATGGTAGCTGTATTAATAACAGCTGGCTTAAGTATTGATTATACTGTACATATCATTTTTCATTATATGGTAAATGATTACACTGATAATACTCAACGAATTAATGCTTCATTTGAAGCATGTGCATTGTCAATGTTACAGGTAATTAGTTACCTTAATATTTTTCTTTTTTTAAAGTCCTTTTATTTTTGTTTTATGATAAACTTAATCCTTTTTTCATTTTTTGATTTCTTCATTTGACCTTTTTTTGTGTCTTAAAATTTCTCAGGTAATAATTCCTTTTTTAAGTTCTTATTTATGTGATAATGCTGATTATGTCAGAATCCGAATTAATTATATTTGATATTCTGAAAACGAACATGGTTAGATATCTAATGTAGGGTTCAACAATTAATTAATTAATCTAAGATGATGAGGAATTTGACTTTGTAAAAATTAGATTAAGAAGCCATAAAAATAATTCAATAAATTAGTCAACTGTTTCAAAAATTCTTGCTAAGGTTATACATTTATTAATTTATAAGAGTTATATTATATTTATTATTCCTGCACTAATTCTGCGGGGAATTAATTATGCTTGGAATAAAATTAATTAGTTGAGATATAAAATTTTGAAGTATTTTTCGGTTTTTTTTAGTAAAACAAAATTTCTACGTAATTAATTAGTTGAGACATAAAATTTTAAGGTATTTTTGATTTTTTTTTTTTAATAAAAGCAAATTTCTAGGCTGGTATATCAACATTTCTTATTATGTTTCCCGTATTATTTGCTCCTATTGGAATTTATGCTGTAATATCGAAAGCAATCATATTGACAATAATATTTGGCTTATTACATGGTTTGTTTATTGTTCCCGTATTACTTACTGCTTTGCCTAATTGTTTTATTAATTGTTGGCCTAACTGTTACATTAGGCATTAATTTGTTTGCTATTTCATTTCCAGCATATTTTCCAAACATTCCCATAAATAATAACAATATATGAATTTTCATTAATTATTGTATTTTTAGTTATTTTCCAAAATATTACAGTATTTTTATCAATTACAAATTTGAAATATGATTACATGCCACATTACAATTTCACACTTTTTTTAAATATCAAATTTTCTTTTAATCGTAAAAATGTAAATTCCTTTCTTTTTGTTTGCCGCAATATTGTATGAAAATTTGTTTTTATTCAGAAATATTTTCAAATTCAACTTTTTTAATTCAAATTTTCTCTCTTTCATCCTTTTCATTCACTTTCTCTATTACAACATTTTGAGTGCAATTTTAAGCACGATTAAATTTTGGATTTTATCTAGTACTGCCATGTGAATGTTAAATTTTTTACGTTAACAGGATCGAAATTCATTAAAAAATGAAAATTTTTCGAGAAGAAAGTTACAAGATTCAACAATTTCAATTTTAATGCTACCGTCAAATAATTTGCAGTCTTTTACAAATTTATTAATTTTTATTATGCAATATATCATCATTATTTGGAATTTTCAGGTATTCATTATGAAATTATTAATTAATTATTCATCAGGTTAATATATATATAACTTTTTTCATCTTTTTGCCTTTTAATAATTTCTCTTATTGTTTCCCAATATGCCATATATTTTCTTTTGCACAATTTGCTTTTAATATTTTAATTTTGCATCTCATTAGTTATTTAAACGGAAAATGGAAATGCCTTTTTTCACAAATTAAGTCTTTTTTTTTGGTGTCATTCGTTTATTCATTCATTGCTCAAATATATGTATATGTTATCGATTTATCACTTTTGTTTATTAATTCGATTAAATTCAGGAAATCTTAGCATTTCGATTCATTTTTTTTCTCTTTTATTTTTTCTTTTTTGATAATTCATCTGAAAAAATATTCACAAAAAATTAATGAATCATACACACACAAATACATTTATAAATTTGAATTAAGAAATTACATACCTAACCAAATTGCTTATTACAACTACAAAGTTTAAGACTTATTTTACATTTATTCATTTCCGTTCAAGTATATTCACATTGTCATTCACTGATAACTAGTAATAATTCCCATCATTTAAGTACATTCACATTACCATCTAATAACTACTGATAATTCACATGTAATCATTGAATCATTTAGTTAGTAAATAGATCAAAAGCTATCAGTTTTACAATTACCCGTAAATGAAAAATTATTCCCACAGCATCCCGCAAAATATATCAAAAATTTTTCAATCAATTAAAATTTTACTTCTTTTCAAATACAACAATAATCAAATTATTTCATCTTTTTTTCTTTTCCTTTTCTACTAATTTGCATTTTCAAATGTCGCATTTTTTCATACCAAAAAAGAGCAAAAAAGTTCGTATTTTGATCTTTAACTCTTTTACATTTCTTTCTACAATAATTGCTACAATTCTTCCCTTTTTTTCAACTTTTATTCATTTCTAAACTTTTTTTTTTATAAATTATTGACTGCCCCCGCAATATGTCTTTCATAGAGAAAAAAAGGAAAGTTATCTAAGATTATTTCATTCATATGTCATTGACAAGTTCCATTTCCTCTACAATAAATGTTTGATTCTATTTAAAATGTGTAAAAATATGAATAAAATTTATGAAAGTAATAATTTGTGCTTTTTTTCCCCTAATACTGTCAGTAATATGATATACTGTCAGCATACTGATAATGATATGATGTACTATCAGTAATATGATAATATGATATACTATCAGTATGATAATTTGCCATATGCGTTAATTAATTTCATATAAAATTTGTAATATTTCTCCATGCCATGGGAGAAAAGCTTGCATGTTCTAATGATGGCATATGTTTCCGGTGTCTCCGGTCATGTCAGACAAGTTTCAACCGAAGGGTCAGATAATGTGTTCACGGATGAGATGGGTTTGTTAACCTCTCTGATAACTAACCATCATAGAAGAACGACTGTAAATCCTAAACCTAGGCGGATGGAGCTCGTTTAATCGTGTAAAGCTATCCATCTTAGAGAAGGATACCCTAGCTACACCCTCTGGACTTCACTGTTTATCGGGAAAACTCCGAAAATCATAATGCAAATTTTTTGTGGGATTACCGAAATTAAAACTATGTCCAAATAAAATTCCCGCAATATCCAACAGACAGGGTGACGAAATCTTGTAAGTAAATTTAAAGCAATGAAGAGGATATAAGCTAACAATGGACAGCTTAAAACAGAAACGTCTCAGTACTTACACAATGGACAGTGCCAAAGGTTAGCTATACCTCCATGATAACCCTGATGGAGCTTACAAAGCTCCTCCTTAAGTGAAAAAATCCTGCGACAATTTTTTTTTTTTTTACAACCGAACGGACGATAGATCCCTTCGCTGATTCGCCACGACTGAACCACAAACGACAACATCGTCGCATATCCGCCACCATTGGACAGCAAACTACGATATTCTTCTATTCGCTAAATACATTTCCCGTAACATCTTCCCAACTCAACGACCTATCAGCTAACCAACAATCAAATTACTGTCCAAGGCAACGACAAGGAGTTTGTTAATGGATCATATTACTTGCTTTTTGTATAACACATCATTGCTTACCAATTCATCGGGTAATATATATGTATATATTTTATACCCTTTTCCTTGTTAACTGGTAAATATTGCGCAAGAACAATATTATATCCCAAATAAATCTGTATCGCCGAGAAAAGAGCTCAAGAGAAAAACAAATTTCCAACATTGTCACCGTCCTAGCTTGCTAGGTTCTGGCAGATGAATCTTAAGAATAAAGGATGGGTCAATTCCATGCATGTTATGCCTCATCTAAAAAACTCACTGCATAGGCTTGAAGGTTGTGTAGACACTTGTAAATCACTCGATTGAACCCTTCGTAAGCCTTTGTTCACGAAGCTTAGCAGAGAACAAATCATTCAATCAATGATTCAGTAATTTATTAATTTGACAATATTAAATGGAATTAGCTTTGTTAAATATAACAAAAGTACCTTGAAATCTTTATTATAATAAATTTACCATATCGTTAACTTTCATGATGATTTTCCACGTAAAAACTGGTTAAAAATAGAAGTATGTCTCAACAAATATAATAAATCCTACACTCGATAATTTTTACAGTATCTGCCAAAAAGTTTTACCGTAAGCTTCTTTAGACCAAGAAACAATGAGCAAACGACAGTGGAAAAATTTAAATTGGAAATTTGCTAGTTTCATTATAATACCTACATTGCTACTGTGGTACGGTAGATGGGTATATAAATATTCATTTCTTCATAAAGCATACATTTTTATTAGATACGGTAAAAAAAAACCATTGTCAAAAATTTTCAATTATATGTCTAGATGTATAAATATTGAAAATGGGAAAGTAACAGAAGAAAAAAACGAATGAAATAATATTAATTAATAGGAAACTGAACTGGAATATCAAGCACTTCCACAATAAACCGAAATGTTATTAACTGTACTGTATTGCATGTATGTAATGGATATCTATCATTGCAATCATGATCGTAAATTACGATAATTCAACACATAAGTAAAAATCATAATTTAGTGACCATTTCAAAGATGCCACTTACCGCATGCTTAATAGTTAAGATTGATTGTTTAATTTCGTTACTGGTTTCGTTCGTTAACTGAAATTTGAAAATATTACCGAAACTTGACATAATTAATTTTTGTATCTTATTATAAAAATAAAAAATTATAATAAAGAATTTAGATGCAATAAATAGAATAGAATGAATGAATGAACAAAGTTTCATTTCAGATTTAATGCTCTAATTTTTAAAAATCGTTTAAAATTTCTGTTGAAATGATAATTCATAGATAAATTAAAATGCTGATAAGAAGCCCATATGATAATCAAAAAGTTATAATTAAATGGATGAAGAAATGATAGAACGAAATGATTGGAATAAATAAAGTGAGTACTGAATGATTAAATCATGAATTTTATTTAAATAAATAAGAAGTGTAAAAAAGTAAAAAAGAAATTTTAAATGACTTGACGATTTATTATTTGTTAAATTTTCTGTCCAAATAATTGTTTTGTTTGTGTCGGTCAATGCTATTAAATTAAACCGAATGCTCAAAAAGTACACGATCAATAAGTTCGTTTAGTAGAAGCAAACAAATACTGTAACTAAGACACAGTACTATAGATATTGTATTCAAATATTATATTTCCTTGGTATAACTGTAAGTCTTATTCTTTTCTGATGAGAATGGTCTATCATAGCACTTTTTATCATAAATATTTAATAAATGTCTTGCAATATGCAAATTACCAATTCATTTTTGTAATAAATAGAAGGAATGAAACGGTTTACTTCCGAATGATACTGTATTGGAAGATAAAATCGACACATTAATGGATACAAATGCTCAGTAGAACTATCAATTAATATGCGTAACTGATCGAGCAGATCATACTGATAATAATTCTGTATTACATCCAATCCAATGATCCTTTCATTTTGTTCACACATATTTCGTATTAATTCTTGCTGAAATAGATACTACACAAATACACATAATAATTATTATAATAATGATTATTATTATTGTTAAAATTACTATTATTATTTTTATTTTTATTTGCTGTTACTTATGATAATGACCATTATCATAATTATAATAATTAATTATGGCAACAATAATAATAATGATTATTATTATTATTATTTTTATTTATTATTATTATTATTATTATTATTATTATTATCATTGTTATTATTATTGTTATTATTGTTATTATTATATTATTATCATTATTATCATTGTACCATTATTATATTATTACTATTAATATTTATTTGTTATCATTGTACCATTATTATATTATTACTATTAATATTTATTTG